CCCAGTGTTGCCAGGGAAGGAAGGGGGTGACCGGGCCTCCTGCATGGACAGGGAGCCCCACACCCGTGTGCTGGAGTCGGGGGCGCCCAGGTGGAGGGGCCGGGGAGCCCCACGGGACGTGACACCAGTTCTCAGGGCTCCCCAGCCCAGGTCGGAGGGGGGCCGTTGGCCCCATTTCCCCCATGGAGCTTTGTGTGGCAGCGGACCTGACGCCCGACACCCCCATAACTTCCTCTCGCTTCCACCCCGCCCTTGCTCCCCCTGCGGGGCGAGGCTGTGGGCCGGGGGAGGAGAATCGCGCGCAGCTCCAGAGGCCAGAGTCCGTGGCCGGGGCGGCGCTGTGGGGGTGCGGGCCCGTGCGGGGTGCGGGCCGGGCTCCCAGGGTCCAGTGGCCCGGATGGGTTTGCATTTTCCCGAAAATGTTCTGTGCGCCGCGCCTCATTCACTGTGACTGATCACAAGATTTAATGGCCTGAAGCTGCGCACTGAGGCTCGGTTCAATTAAAAATGGTCTGTGGAAGCCATGAATAACCCTCCTGCCTGCGCCCCTCCAGCTTCCGGAAGCTTCCACCGGAGGAGGCCGGGTGGCTCTGTCTTTTTCTTTTGATGGTCGGGGCCGGGCCAGCGTGAGCGCAGGCACCCGGGCCCGGAGCGGCCTGGGGCCCGCCCCGACCCCGCCTCTGCCCTCTGCAGTTTGACAGGCTCTGGGGCGAGATGCCCGTGAACGCCAAGGGCCGGCTGAAGTGCCAGGACTTCCTGAGCAGGTTCAGCGCCGAGAAAGAGGCGTCTCCGCTGACCACGGGCGACTCAGCCCAGGCCCAGAGGGGGAGCAGCGTCCCCGAAATCACGGAGGAAGACGGTTCTGTGGTGTCATCGCCTGCTGGCAGCCAGAGAGCCGGGTCCAAGCCACGCAGCCCTCCCAGCGTGAGCCGCCAGCTGTGGGGCGCCCAGGGGTCGGGTCCCAGAGGCGCAGGTGGGGGGGGGGCGCAGAGAGGACCCCCGGGGCCCGGCCCTTCCTTTGGTGACCATGTGGTCACCCCACCCAGCATGGTCTGCCGATGCACCTGAGCAGCATCTCCCCACGCTGGGCCCCGGCTCTGTTTCT